CGTCTGTGTATGGTTGGGGCTGGCGCAGTCTTCCTGTGTGAAGCGCCAGACCCCTTCACACCATGGAATGATGATGATGATGTATGTTTGGGGCTGCATTGCAATATTGATTGTTCGGATCATTGGTATCTAAGTCTTCCGCTGTGCTATCTTATACTTTGTATTGAAAGGTCGGTTCTTGTTCTGGTCTGCACCTATACGGTATGCAACACCGGACGAGGACACATGAGCGGAAGGAGGAGGCGGTGTAAGGAGGAGGAGGAGTTGGATGAGGTCGGAAGACAGGTGTGAGAAGGTCGCGCGAGGTGGAGGAGGACGCCGTGCAAGGGGGAGGAGTGGGCCGTGGGAGGGGTGGGAGCACGTCGCACGCTGGGGACGAGAGGTTGCAGGAGGTCATGCTGCAGGGGAAGGAGGAGGTCGTGCTAGGGGGAGGATTTTGTGCGAGCGGGAGGGGTTCGTGAGGGAGGACGAGGACGTCACGATAGGGGGAGGAGGTTGCACAAGGGGGGGCGCTCGCACACACGAGAGAGAGAGAGAGAGAGAGAGAGAGAGAGAGAGAGAGAGAGAGAAGACTGGCATATCTTCCTCCAAATGTCGAGAAGATGCCGTTGGCCTTTTTTTGGGGGGTTGTAATTGGCCAAACACCCCCATAAGTTGGGATACATGTCAAAATGTCCTTGAAAATTGGGTGCTTTTTTCGCAATTGCACCCACCAAAAGTTGGCAACTACCGGGGCATTTTGCAAAGTTGGACGGTGTCTGGTAGGGTACATTGCAAAGATGGGGTCCAAACGATGTCTGGGGTGTTTTGCAAAATGTTTTTGCTGTCGTCCTTGACCGCAGCGTAGCTGCGGGAGGTCCACTTGTTATAGTAAAAGCCCGCAGAAGCTCTAAACCCCCAATCCAAATACACCACTGCAATTAAAATGAAAACCCTGAAGACCGTTACCAACAACCACCCTGACCATTCTCATACCCTACACGCTCACTTTTCTATTTTTGGAGGCTTACAAGGGCAGGCAATCGTGCTGACGGGCATTGCAGAACAGCGCTCCAAGGCAATACCAACACCCCCCCACACACTACCCCCCAATCTTTCTGTGAGGCCTAGTTCTGACGTCATAGATACCAAGAGCATTCGCCCAGAAATCCAATGCTCAGTGTGTCAGAATTGTTACCCTGATGCGGCATCTGGACTAGCAGTGAAAAGTCCGGTATGCAGTCGAACAGAACAGAAAAAAAGCATCTACGTGCCAAGAACTTTGTCATTTGTCAACCTCGTTGACCATGCTGCAAATGCACTGCAAGAGTAAAACAATGATAGTGCAACACATGGCAGCACAATGAAAAAAAAACTGACAAGAATGCGGTTTCCCACGTTTTTGTAAAAGCCTGCAGAACCCCTAACCCCAATCGGAATAATACCGCTCCAATTAAAGTGAAAACCCCGCAGAATGCTACCTACGTAAAGGTCAACCATAGTAAGCATACTACTATATTGCGGCTGCTACCGATACTAAGGACCACCAGCATACACAGTCCACTACTTTTTGGAGGGCAATGAGGGCAGGCAATTGAGCTCAGGGACATCACAAAACAACCCTGCAGGGGGATCCCAATACTAACCATAACCACAACCACCGGTGGAAGTTGTTTTTTCCCTTTTGCTGTCAAAACACAACTTCACAATCACGCTCATTCAGAAGAAAAGTATAGCAAAGAAAACAGAAAAGAAAAATCCCACTATCTCCTAGGTAGTCAAAAACAAAACAAAACTTTAAAAAAACATCACACACCCAACACATCAGACACCAAACGCAAGATTTCCATTTTACCACATCTGACGCGCAACACTGAACATGAAAACATGCTCTCATGGAATCGAGATCTACAAACGACGCACGATGTGTTTACATCCTATGGCTCCCTCACACCACCACTGTCGATGACGGGAGACGGTCATGATGTATTGGCATCGCACGACTACCGCACACCGCCTGACACAAACTTCACGATGAATGACGACAACACCATGAGATCGAAGGACATCAGATGTCGGAGAACAAAAACAATGCGGGGGTACACATGTCATGCAACGGAGACCCAAAAGGACAGCCCAGTGGCCAATAAAATTTTATACTTTACAGTAGACAAGGCAGCCAAACAAAGCACACAGCTTGGAGTGCCTCTAATGAGGAAAAAGCAACACAGCCAAAGATTGAAAAATCACAAAGGGGTCCTCGTCCATGGTTGTTGTATGCTGGGGGTAGGCTTGTGGGAGGGATATCTGGGTACTTAGCACATTGGGCGTTCTGATGATCACGGTTACTCCTCGTTGTCATTGCCATGGGGAGGGGGAGTAGTGGTCCAAGGTGCGCAGATAGGTACCGATTGAGTTGATTGCAGAATAGTTGACACCATTGGGTCTGTCTGAAGGTATTTCAGGTGTATAGGCTCTATCAGAGGTATATGAACCTGCTAGTATGATTGGCACCACTCGGATATTAATTGGAATAATTGCAAATAACTGGACTGAAGTGACCCCCCTGAGTAGATGTCCAGAGCTGTCTAGGAGATGTCCCCTCATGTATGGACTACTCTAGGCAGGGTGCACTTATTAGGGTCTGGGTACTATATGGTATTTCCACTACTAAGGGTACAGCTACGGGGGTCCATGCTATGTGGGGGGTATAGGCTCAACAGGTCTAGGCCTGCTACACCCAATTTGAGTAGGCTTCAGCCTACAGGGGTGTGGGGGGAGTATGGGAGGGGTACAGGGTCTACAAGGACAAAAGGCACCTACGAGTCCCAAGGGAGGGGTTCAGGACCATATCTTACGAGTCCCAAGGACTGTGCTTCAAGAGGTTGCCCATGGGGTTGCTCATCACTTGGGGGGAGTAGTTGGTCCACTAAGACCATGGGCTCTAGGTCCACCTTAGTATACCATAAGAAAGTGTGGGTATTGCATCGAAGATAGAAATTGAGTCGGTGTGATGACCAGCAGGTGTACCTGTAGAAGTAGAGCCCGTTCGGACCAGGGACACCTATCTGGCTGGTTGTCTCTAGGCAGTGAGCAGACAAAGGCTTCTCATAGTACCAGGGACACCAGTATAGACTAGGATTCCGTAGAAAAGCAGAAGGGGGACCGGTTGGGGGGCCTATGAGATTGTTATAGGGTTGATACAGACTTGTAGGGGATGCCGATAATATGCGGCTTGACTGGGGAGTTAGATGTCCAGTCTCCTGTCTAGAGGGTGGGATAACCGCACCCCAACACCCCCATTACCCCCCCCCAATACCCCCTGTACCACCCTGATACCTCCCTATCCCCCCCCTATACCTCCCTATACCCCCCCACTACCTCCC